AACGGCGGGCGTAAGAAAAATTAACGCAGTCGGAAGAATGAAACATTACTAAACCTGAAATCGAAAATTTAAACGGTAAAAGTGCAACACCCGCATTTTCCAGGAAAATAACAGTGGTTCCAGATCGAAACAGTTGGTACTTACAGAGTTGAAGAGCAACTGGAAATGTGAGAGCGGAGAAAAGACAGAGACTGAACGCCATCGCTCCCCAGTTCTGCGTTGAAGAATCACAATTACGCATTACAAAATTATGAAAAATCGAGTCCGTGGCAACAGCAACAAAGAGCAGCCAAACGGACGCAACAAACCGGTAAAAATATTGAAGAAGCACAAAATACATTTAATTGTTAGAAAATGCTAAACTGAATTAGAAAGCGAAAAATGTGGTTAGCGCTTAACAAACATGCTGCATATAAGTAAGTAGAGGATGAAGTTAGAAGGCGCCATTAGGCGCAGGCACAGTGATCTTTCGTGGAAAGCCCGGGAAATCGATGACTTCAAGCTTTGAGGTGTCCCACTTTTGTACATTTGTGTTGACTAAATAAAAAATTAATTATTCATCAAACTTAACAAATTATTGCAAACCAAACATAGCAGCAGTAACTGTAGCTTTAAAAATACAAATTCTCAGCAAGGACACATGTCGCGTACGTTCAGCATGGCGAACTGAGATCGGCTGCTGACCGCCACAGTGGACTCTGGTCGAGATGTGAAACCAGTGGCTGTACACTTAGTTCAACTCGAAGCTTTTCAAAATCACGGGAGAAACTAAAAAACTATTATGTCAGATGTTCCGAAGCGCAAACTTGAAAAGAGCAGCTCCTAAAGAACAGAAGAAATTAGCTAACAAAGAAGTAACACCCAGCTTGTTTCCGCTATTCTGATAAAACGATGAGCGGCAATTTGCATAGCTACAACTGGATGGTATAAACCAAACGACCTGAACGTTGACAACCAAGAGGGTGGTGTGCACTTCCGACAGATATACGTCCCATCTAACAGCATCAAAGAGTTCTTGTCGAGCAACAGTAATGTGAACAAACCTGAGTATGAACAAAACATTACATACTGCCAGGCACCATTCAGCAATTGCCGAAACGCAGTGCAG